GTTATTATTAAAAACTAGATCATTGGATAATGCAATTCAAGACTTTTTATTGGCTTAGCCATTATGGTATATCAGCCAATATACCATAATCTACAAATATGGCAAGCGTACGTGCCAGTTTAAAATTAAAAGGGAGCTAAAAATTTAATAAAATTTAATAATTGAATTCAACGTTTTTAATAAAACAATTATTCCACTCGTGCTTGTTGGATATGAGATGATTATAGCCAACTCGGCGCTACGCGCCTCGTTCGCTATCTATCATCTCATATCCAACGCGCGCTCGTGGAATAATTGTTAAGTATCATAATTGAATGTTCATGGTACTTCGTGGGATATCGATAAAGCTCATTTTAGGTAAAAAAAAAAAAAACGAAAGATCTGCAAATAGCCCATAATACATCACTGCAGATGTGCGATAAAGAAAAGTGTAGTGTTCGAATGTTTGTTTATTTAAAGGAAGTTTTATAAGGGTCAAACCTGGAAAACCACAACTTTCGCTGAAATATTTGTAAAAGCCAACGTTCAAAATCTTTATATTTATACTACTTCTTCTCCAGAGGCTTCTCTGCCTTGTTAAGTTACTCGTGCCGGTTGTAAGACTACGACTCACGGACCACGTTCATATTTTTCGCACGCACCTTTTCCCGGCAGCGGTCCGAAAAAAGCTCACATCTGGAAATAAAACCATTTCTACGTAGCTCGGAACTCAAGAAACGCTTCGAGTAATCACTGCGCCAGCTGACACAGCAGACTCGACTGCGAGTCGGTATACCTAGATCAAATACTTGCATTTTGGAAGCGGTGGCTTTGAAAAATCAGCTCAACTAGTTAGTTATTTAGTATTCTTTCCCAAGAAGGTAGCCAAATAGTGATCTATCCCCCTCAAATAAGGTCGGGTCCAAAGCTAGCAATGCATTATATGACGAAACATTATAGAGCGTGGCTGATGCGGAATGAATACCTAATTGCTCTCAATCCGCCTTGAACAGGCAAGAAGAGGTATAATTACTGTTTCCTGTTTTCTGGATCGTCTGTTGCAGTCACAGTGTACTCTTACTATAGCTACGAACGAGCCCTAGATATCCCTATGAGGAGAACGACACGCAATGCTGTTGCTGAGTTCACATCTTTTCTCTGCAACTCATTTTATCAGTAAACGAAAATGCCAGTTTGAAGCACCCGTGTCACATTTTCTCATAGGGTAACACCCGGTATTTCTCAATTGAGAATGTTGGTAGTAACCAAGTGAAAGGATCGTCTGGGCCGTCTGAGCCGTCTGATGCCGCTTATTTGATTCATCGTCTGGATCAGCCAATAAAAATCGCTTTATGGAATAATCCACGTTCGCCCGCGAGTAACAAATTCCACAACATGCCGTCTGGTAAGCCTTCAGCGAGATAGTGAGGAAATACAATGGCGAAAGCATGAGCATAGAGTCTACNAAAAAAAAAAAAAAAAATCACGTGCTGCAAAGATTGCAGCAGTTGCCACTGTCTTCCACTAGGCTGACCAGGTCAACTCTACGGATTCTAGTTTTAAAGATACTAAGGCTTGGTAGTTCACGCATACCATTTTCTAATTTGGACCAAATATATGGTCCTTGATACCTTAGTGTGTGTTTACCATAGCGTATAGTGTTAAATCGTGGTATTTCAAAGTCACTATTCCTAAGGTTATAACGAGTACCCTTTCGAGTAAATATCTCAGATATGTATCTGGGTACTAGATCGTTCTTTACTATATACATTAGTGTTGCTATGTCCTGTAAGCGTCTATTATGAAGCGTAGGTAACTTAGCACGCTTAAGAAGTTCCTCGTATGTCTCAATTGTTTATACACACTCCCGGAGCGCTATTGTTGCGCAAAGAAGTAGCTGCAATTCATCTCCAATCACAGCAATACTGTAAGTAAATTGCTCACTTATCTTATAACATCATTTGTGGTTAAATGTCAGGTGTATAGTGCATGAAGAGAAAGGTTACTGAGAAGTTCAAAGAACACAACAGTGCTCAACAAGCAACTGCCACCTTGGGTAATGTGGGTTCTGTTACGATGTGCTGATGCTGATAATTTAAGAAATTAGTTGTAAATATCTTACATAAGTTATCTGAACAGTTTCTGATTTTAATGTTTTTAGTTTCAATGTAGATTAATTCTGAACGATGAAAACAAATCTCATGCACATATCAAATTGTTGTGTATGTTTTCTTTGTGTGATGGAGTAATGAATGGTGGGAAACTACAACACATTCATTTGCAGCTAAACTCCTCTGACACATTATGCCATTTCATGTGAACAAACAGTTTTGTTTTTATTTGTAACATGTTGCTGTCACAGGAAAAATATTCATTTTGACTGCTAGGATGAATAATTTAGGGGTTAATCTGCCACACTATAGTAATGCTGTGATTCTGTTACATACAAGCTTTTTGTACCTACAGTCTACTTCATAAATAGAACTAGAAACTGCAAACCAATGTTTACCAACTACACTGATAGTGGGATTTACACTGCCGGGTTGAAAGATGGCAGTCTAAATCCTACAGGGATCAACGAATGCTTTTCATTCCACTAATTTATTCATGTTTTTCTCGTGGCCATGTTCCCACCAATAAGTTAGCTCCATTTTCTGCCTTTAAAAGCACACACAACCCACAATTCCTCCATTCGCTCCGACGAAGGGCTAACGCTCGAAACGTCAGCTTTTGTAATCGTTACGTTGGCCAATTTACCATTTCAACTCTGTTGATATATCCTAATTATTCGTTACTCCCACCGATGCAGCCCCAAAAGTTTCTTTTGAAACTATCGGCCTTTAAACAAAAAATTGAGGCTGGCTAATGGGTCACCAACCAGATACACTTTAGGGTTAAAGCAATGTAGGAGAAGAATTCTTTCTTACTATATAACCAAAAGAAGAGATATTTTAAATCTACAAGTTTGAGCAAAACTTCTTGAAAACTTTGTTATCATAAATTTTACCTTCAGTTAACTTCTACAAATATTTACCCTCCCATGCAAATCTCTCAGTTTTCATTCATTTCATTATTTATTTTCACCAAAGAGAACTAACAAAATTGTTCAATGGGAGAAAGTGTATCCGAACACATTAAAAGAGTTGAAAGAGACAGAAAATTAACTCTTTAACTCCCAAGATCTGATTGTTAATTCTCCCCTCTATCAACTAAACATTTCTCTTGTCAATTAGATACTAGAGTATCTCAAGATAGCAATGCTGCAGCATATTCTGTTGAGTGACAGATCTTGTGCAGAGATTCATCTACCTGCCCATTCCAAATAAGTGTCAGATGGTGGGGTTAGGGTCAGCAAAAGTTAGATTTAAGAGCACCCCTCTTGGCTCATTGCCAATTGGATTGTAGGTTTAGTAACTTCATTGACTACATACTGGTCAATACAAATTGGAATTTTCTTTTTCATTTGCTTGGGCAGGAAGGGGGGGAGAGGCATAATTTATGGAGGATTCCCAGTTGGATGTTTTCAGAAACATATCTCTGAAGTTATTTTCTGCAGGGGAGAAGGTACACTTACAACCAAAGAAAACAATGCATGCAAAGAAGAAAGATGTTTCATTTCCTAACACAAACTTATCTGCCTTTGCATCAAGAACATACACATGAGGAAATAACATCTTAAAACTAAACCTTTAATATCATATCATAAAGGAAAGTCATTCAGAGATATCCTAGTAAGAGCTTAACTTTGAGGGGAGAAGATTTAAAGGTGCTACTGAATGGCATGAGTATCAACACCTATTAAAAGTTGACTACCTTCTTTTGCTTTCCTGCTTACTGGTGTGATAACTTTCACAAGGTAGAGTTCTTCATTGATCAAGTGACTCCTTTCATTGCTCTAATTCATCTGTCATTCATTCAGTGATGAGGATAGTAGATTTAACATAACTTACTCTCAATTACACTAGAATTACAACACCATTGAGTACATATAGGAAATGTCCTTACATTTAACACTTTATAAAATAAGTAATACACTTAACACAACAAACAGGTTGCAGTGAACTCTAGTTGAATGCAATGCATTCTGTAAAAAAATGATGAATTCGAGAAAATGCACCCCTTTAATAATCTCCTTAAATCGGTATTATGTTACTCTCAGTTTGCTTGCTAAACTTGCTGCACAGCAACAAGAATTTGGTTTTAGATCAAGATAACAACTACCTGATAGATTTCAGTTTTCTCGTTAATTGTATGCTGGATAATGGAGTAACCTGTTAATCATTTCTGAGAGTTCAAGAATTAAGATGTATGCCCTCAAAAGAATGTAATTGTATCTTGACACATACAGTGCTTATTGTAACAGTTAGTTTAAGAACCTTGCTGATTAGAAGAGAGTAAAGGCAAATTAAGGCATGGATTTGTATCTGTGACACTGTTTAGAGATAAAGGTGGTCCTGTACCTGTCCAAATATAATTCTTGCTACCATGGAGATTGTTTTAAGTATACAATCATATAATCCTTCACTTTCAGGTAATTACAGCTCCTGCTTTGTTTTGAAACTTTATAGTAGCAGAAAGTTGTAGTAGGAAGAATTACAGTTGCTCATACAGGGTGTAAAATTAACATTTTTCCTTTTGTAGCCACTTGCCCTGTAAATATTTTAAGTGGCAGCCAATTCCAAACAGTTGAATGCCATATTTTATTTTATAAGATATTGTAGAACCCCCCCCCCCCCAATGTATGAAAGTCAATACTTTGAACAGTAGGTACTTAGAAGCAATAGAAAACAAGAATCTTGAAGCCCTTTTCTCTAATCAAGGATAAATTGATCCTGAATCATACAGTCATCATGGAACAAACTCACTAACTCAAACATGTTCAATACCCAACCAATACATTGTTGAAAGTAGATATCAAGTAATACCTAAGTCAACAATAATTTTATCAACAAATTGGTGAAAATGTTTTTTCAACCATAATATTTGCTCTTTAATTGCTTCTAGTCAATGATTCTTCCTAGGTTTAACAATATGAAAAAGGTCTCATTTCAAACATGAAAAGACCTTGAATCGATCTAAATCTGCAAGGCATTTGTAACAGGGACACCACATTTGGACATGCACTGGCAAGGTCTGAGTCGGCTTACGCGAACCAGACCTTGCCAGTGCATGTCCAATGTGATATCCTGGTTGAAGTGCACACACTGAAAAATGGTTTAAATCACAAAATATCTGCACAAGCTCAGGAGGAAGCCGTAAAAGCGAAGAATGTTGAGTACACATTCATGGAGTAAGGTCACGTCTTCGGACACTCTCGAGGCCTATGGCTTTTCCTTTGCCTTATCTTCTTCGGAGACGCTGTTTTTGCCCGTGCGAAATTGCAAACAACTGTTAAATCGGTCCTTACACGGTCTCCCTTACAAGAACTGTTGTTTGCACTATTTGCTTTCGCTTCCGTCTACATTTCTTCACATCGTGGTTGCCACTGCACGTCGTTTGTTAGTCACAAAGGGTTTTCTTCTTTGCGAGTTGCCTACTACATTTATTATTACTGCTCTAGCTATTGCCCTTACAAAGACCCTGACTTTTTCGCGTTGTCTTTCCTACTTGTTTTATGGATTGCTTGCAACAAAGTTTCTCGTGCTAAATCAATACTAATACATACAAGCTTAGCTTCTTGTCAACAACACCAAAGCTTTGTACTGATCCGCTCAGGTTACTTGGGGGGGGAGTAGTGGAAAGAATAAGGTTGACTCCTGTGGGGGAGAGGGAAGATCGTACAACGGTGGTAAAGATCATCAAAACGAATGTTGCTACAAAAAAGATGGCCATGGTGTGGTAATCATGACCTTTCTGAGGTAAAATGTCATCAGGAGTTTCACATCTGCGTGACTGCAATTGCAACTGGGGAACTGAACTGTCAAATCATATTCTGTTGAATTTTATGCCGTGCGTAATGCTTTGCAAGTTTGCCACCTTATTCATTGCAGATTTGTCACTCTCTAGGTGAAACTTCTCAATCGCACGAGTGGAATAGTCGCACTTTTAGAGCAAATTTGTATCAATGGAATTACACTGTCAATCAGTAGTGGGCTGAGATTGGTGTGACAGTACATCTAGCATTTTGAATTCGCGCTCTGAGTCAAATTACAGAGGGTGGGCAGAGGGTGGGAGTGTTCAGCCTTCGTAGCCTGTATGAGTGGGTAGGGGGGGGGGTGTGCTTTCCAGCAATGTGAACGCTGAGCAGTCCGGTTCAGAACTGAGGCCGCCATAATGGATGTGTGAGATCGCGGTAACTCTGTGGGGAACAAACAAATAAGACGGGAGGAGGAACTAAAGAAAAATATGAGAGAAACACTGATGAAAGCCAGACCCATCAGTCTCACTGTCGCCTCCTTGGTACAATTTTTTACTCGCTCTAAACTTTCGTTGATCTTACGGATCGATTTGCGATCGATATGGCGGCTTTTATCCTAGGCCCCATAACGAGACTGAAAATTCCTTTTTATAGTTCAATTATTGACAATGTTTACTGTAATCGACTTTTTTCGTGTTTATCATTGGTACTTCTGTAAACGTGAGCTTACGTCAGCGTTCGACTTGTCGAGTTCAATAAACTCGCCCGTCACTTTAACTAGTACCTGATAAGAGTACTAAGTTAACCTGACTGTGGAGGTTTCCCTACCTAATCCTCTCTTCCCAGTTAGTCTCAAAAGTTTTATTAGCACCAAAGAAAGTAGATGAAACAGTCCGCAACATAAGAGAGCTGCATACATCTTGTCTCCACTAATTGACCGGATGTGTTTTCCCGATCAAATTTCGCTACAGGTAAACCCTTTACGGTCAGAAAGTGAGAAACAGTACACTGGGGCCGATAAATAAAACGAATGAGGAAGGGAAAGAGATTAGAGGATGTGGGGGGTGGGGAGGGGGTTGGCTGAACAGATTTCCCTTTAACAATTATATAGCTGCTTTAGTGGTCACTCACATGTCACAAACATACCTAAGGAGAAGAAACTAGCTATGTATGTTACTGTAGGATAAAAGGTCCAGTCCAAGTAGAAGAGAACAACAACTGTTACAACACCAACAATAACAATCTTGCTAAGGAGAAACACAATTTACTTCTCAAATAAATTGGCAAATTAAATAGCTCCAGAATCAATTATACCCCAAATGCTCATTTGTTTTTCCAATGTTTGCCAATTCCCGAAATATCGTTCTTAGACCCTTTCCTCTTGCATGACGTCAGCAGGTGTCGTCATCTTTCCTTTGGATTTTTCGAAGGGCTTCTTTCAAGTCCTCCCCAAGAGACATGTCTCGCTTGGTTCTCCTGTGCACCAATAGATCGTCCACTCTCCTTTGTTTTCTGGGCAGTTCACGAACGAGAGACTTGAGCGTTTTCCGACGGTATGCGTCCCAGTTTACTTTGTCTTGTAGACTCTTTTGCAGTGATTCATCGTTAGGGTAAGGTGTTTCCTACAAACAGGGGGAGTCGCTATTCTGGTCAGCATCTGCCAGCACGTGTAGAATTCACTTAGAAACCAACGTGCTACAATGAGCTCGGAGAAAAATGGGGAGGCATGGGTTTCCTGAAGCAATAGACCGCTCAATCTCATTTACTCGGTGCGCTTCTTTGATAACCCTATTAAAGTTTTGAGGGACACTCGAAAAAGAGCTGGGAAATCATGGACCGAAAGCAAAACTTTCATTAAGTTCAGTACATTGATTCCATAATAAGTTATAGGTTTACCAGTGCGATAAAAAATACATTTTTACCAATCAGAGTGCTCAGGCATCTCAGTTATCTGACGTGTAAGGTTATTCATGGCTAGAATTCTTCCTCACCATATCACCACATTACACTGAGCAGCTTTGTCCGTAGATTTTTGATTTTAAGGCAAAATCGAGGTTGCCCAAAGACATCTTTTCCCGTCGTTCTTTTCTTACCTTAGGACACTTGTAATAACTTACCGTAACAAGGAGTCTTCTTTTCATGGCGTCGGTGCAATGGGCGAGGTAAAATTTCTTGGAGATCATGATGCACTCTGCCCCATTGCTGACCTGCGAAAGAAATGAAGAGAGATCAGATATAGAAAAGCTTCTTTCACTAACGAGCAAAACTCTACGTATGATGCACGAGAGAGTATCTCGCAGTAGAGAGCGCTATTTATGCAATAGCGAAAATCAGACCTGCTCCCAGTTGGCTTGTTAGCTCAATTGGTAGAGCGCTGCACTAGTATCGCAGAGGTCAGTGGTTCGAATCCCGTACAGGCCTGATTTTTTTCAGGTCTGATTTTCGCTATTACATAAATAGCGCTCTCTACTGCGAGGATCGTGCATCATACCTATCTAATACCGCAGTTCAAAATATATGAACTTCATATATTCATTGTATCTAGCAAAACTATCTTGGACCTCTTATGTGAGGCTTGATAACAGTGACTCGATTAAAATATCAAGAAGCAACTAGAAGATTTGCCGTTCTTTCGGTCTCTTTTTGTTCCCTACAGAGGAAGTTGTACCTATGCATAGAATGAAAACGCCCATTGTTAGGGCGTGTATTGTATCAATCTCTTGACATTTCTAAAATATACCTTGCTTTATTTCATAATTGAGCTGAAATGAACCATCTCTTTTATCTTATTTACCCAAACGAGGTTTTAGACATTGTCAAATGAAAGGCAAAATCTCGGCACTAACCAATACTTTTTTGAATTTTTTCTGACTCTCATTTATCTCCCAACCAGCCACTAGAAGGAGGCGTGCCAACTTCTCATTGTAGTTCAAGAACTATGCAAAACGAGTGTCATAATTAAACCTAATATTGGCCAACGAGTTCTTCACCGAAAAGTCTCCTTGGTTTTATAGTAAAGCATCGGAGCGTGGACTCCGAAGAGTCAGAGGTTCAGTTCTTCATTGGGACTTAGACCATGACAACATAATAAAATAGCTTTCTTTAAACGCATAAACTGTTTTTGTATAGATTGACAGTCACCATGAACAAAGTGTGTAAAAACATATCAACCAACTGACCAGACTAAGACTAGGCTGCTCGTCAAACACCATTGAAGACACACCCTGAATAGCAGAACACAAAATAGATAACCGTGGAAACATAACTATTATGCATTTTTCCTTTACCAGTAAGGATTGCACCGAAATGAAGATATTTAAATGATTGTACTTAAAACAGCTTGCTTATTTTCTCATTAAATAAATCAGGAATTATTAAATGGCCGATTTGAACTCAAATTCAGTTTAGAAGTATATCCTGCATTGGAAGAAAATTTCTAATGATTCTCAGAAAAACTCTGGTAAAAATCACAATTACCGGGTGTGCATGTTATCGACCCAGATAGCACAAGGGACAGGACTAGAGGACTAGAAAGAGAAAAGCTCAGTGTCCTTACAAAACAATCTCCCTTTGAAAGAAGAGCAACTTGAACAAACATTGGATGCAGATCTGCCTCAGTGATACGAACTTCAGTCTGTGTTAAAGAGGAAATGAGAACAAGGTTTGGTCAGTTCACTAGAACCCACAAATAATCACTTTCCAAAAATAGATGATGATTCATTTTAAGTGAATTGCTTTTTCACTGTCAAAAGTTTTATCAAGCAGTCTCTGAAGATCCTAATGGATGACTTAACTACTTAGTTTACATCATATACTCACCGGCCTTTGTTCACCTTCGTCGATGACAGAAATTTTGTGCAATGGTAGTTTCTTTTCCTCTTCAGACAGCTCTTCTGAAATACGAGAAAATGTACGTTATATTACGGAGATAACTATAATTATTAAAAACTAGATCATTGGATAATGCAATTCAAGACTTTTTATTGGCTTAGCCATCATGGTCTATCAGCCAATATACCATAATCTACAAATATGGCAAGCGTAGGTTTCAGCTTAAGATTAACAGGGAGCTAAAAATTTAATAAAATTTAATAATTTAATTGAACGTTTTTAATAAAACAATTATTCCACTCGCGCTTGTTGGACATGAGATGATTATAGCTAACTCGGCGCTACGCGCCTCGTTGGCTATCTATCATCTCATATCCAACGCGCGCTCATGGAATAATTGTTAAATATACGGCATATTTGTATCCAATAGATTGAGTCGGTTTTGATTTTGGCGAACGACGAACTTTCGCAGGTATCATGGCCTAAACTATTATTTAAGTTATCATGTCTTTTTGAATCTACGTTCTCTTTTCTCTTTTCTTTATTGGAATGCACGGTCAAATTTAGACCAAGTGAAAGATAATCAGTCAGTCTCCCTCAAACTGATGTCACTGTAACTGTCCGTTGAAAATAATTCCAAGGACAAGAACTCTTGTATTCGCTGTCGCCTCTGAAAAACTATTTGTGAAAGTAGCTGTCTCAAGTGTTGTTTTGGCATTTTCTTTTCATAGTCAGACGAATATTTTGGAATTTCTCCTTCGTGGAAGGCAATCCTGTTCCTCGAAGAAATTAAAGCTAGTGAAATACTTGAGTTACTTAACAGGTGATTGTTACCTGAGGGAGGAGTCACAGTAGATTTTCTCACTCTACTCGTACGTCTCGAGGGGCTGGGGAGAGTCCTGGGTCGTGTGTTAGAGTCGGTTCTAGGTCTCTGCTCGTAATCACCCGCGTCAACTTGCAAACTGATTCTTTGACAGCGAGGAATTGGTGATGTCTAACAAGATTAAGAATAGAATATCATCTGTTAATGGCTTTCCTGTACAAAAACGCACCATGATCGTTGTACAAACTATGCTTACATTTTAACAATTTGCGAAATTATATTTCTCGTGTTTCATTTGTCTGGCATTCACGCGTGAAACTAGTAATCTAAAATATCTTCTTGTAATCCAAATTTTTGAACAGTGTCTGGGTGATAGCGAAGGAATGATTTTTTGAAGTTCTTCTGTTTTCAATAGACTTGGCCAAAACTCCTACAAATCAGTCCAATTTAATCCTAGTCAAAAATGGTAAGTACTGTAGCCGCTATCCAAACTTTGAACTTGGAAAAGAATCAAAAACGTATCAATTTCTTACCGAAGATGAAGGAAAGTTTTCTTCTTCCACTGTTGGTAAAGGAAGCATGTTGTTGCCTCTGTAATCAGGAGTCGTGCGTTTCTGCAGTCGTCTAGGTAATACCCTGGTAGTATTTGACAGTTTCCTCGATTGCACGTCATCTACAAAGTTTGTTTCACTTGGAGTTCTCTGAACTATTCTAGGTTCACTTGAAAGTTTTCTTTCCAACTCAATAATATTTTTTAGATTGTTTGATTGTTCATCAGTAGAAATAATAAGGGAAGTCTTAGGGGCACTAACAACCCCTTTTCTTCTAGAGATCGGAGGCGACGCTTCCCGAAAACCTACGAACTTGATCGATTTTTCTACGGGAGAATTTCGGTTGCTGTTAACGTTACCGCCTGTTGCAAATAATTTCTGAGCAGCGGCTACTTTATCGATGGCTAATACATCAGCTGCTTTTTCCTCGTTTCCTGAATCATTATCGTCGTCGCTTTCGTGTGTTATGATACCAGACCTGAGATGCATCTTGGGTAATAAGAGTGTAACCACTGACAGCTTTGCTTTGACACGTTGTAACTTGTCACGTGATGAGGCCTTAGGAACCTGGCTCTTGACTATGAACAGAAAATAAACGACTAGGTTCAAAGATTTTCCATGTCACTGTTTATGTAAATGTAGTTACTTTAAGAGAAGGTAGAAGAGGTTACGAAATCAGAGATATAAGAAATGTTGACATATTACCGTTTTCGAATCCAACAACCCTGTCGTTGTGCTGAGTCAGACAGGATTTGACTTCTCTCAGTTTCTTCAACACCTGACAGCTTCCCTGCAGGTGGTTAGAAGAATGGACACGACAAAGTTTTTGGATGTTGCAGATCGTCAAATCAAAATCGAAATTTCAGTAGCTTAGAAGAAATTGCTAATACCGATTTTATAATGTATATCCAGTCCGAGTGATTGCTATCTCTTGCAAGAACAGAGCCACTCCTGGAGGAAGAGAACGAAACACCATTATAACGTGACGGGACTTGACGGAAAACGTTACAAGAGCAATTCTTGACTGAGAATAGAAAATAATGCGGCTTAGCACTGACTTCGCGTCACTGTTGGATCTGTCGACATATACTAGAGCATATTCCTCACCTGAAAAAGTGAAAAAGGCATTTTTTTGGATTAGAAGCCATAAGTTCCACAGGCCACCCCTTCAAGAAGTCTATGCTCCTAAAACAAGCAAGAATTCGTTAAAAGTGTTTGCTCTTTCTTTAACAGCAATTGATAGCGATTCAGGTACTTGCTACTGACATGTTGTTTTTTTTTCTGTGGAGTGCAAAGTTTAGATTAGAATTTCCAACCCCTGTAAAAAAAATGTCCAATCTCTGTAAAAGTAAAACCATTGTACTGATTGGAAAATATTTGCAGGCACGTTATGATTGATATTATAAATTATACATGGAATAGCTGTGGGTGAGGAGTCGTCTGGAATTTAGCACCTGTAACACCAAAGACCAAAAGGTCTATATATTTTTATATGCAATCAATCCAGGACTTGAATCAGTTCGTTGCAGAACTCAAACTAGCCAAAAACATATTAAGGTGGCTCATACCGGTTTTCATCTTTTTGATGGTTTGTAACTTTGAAAGAATACAACTGAAAGACTGACCAAGGCCAGTTGAACACTTTTACGCGGTTGAATTACATAATCATTGGTTATCCAAAAATAGGCGTCATTTCGTCACTAGCATTTTCCATGGCAACGCTTTCATAGGCTTATTCAGACGCACTTTTTAGCTTGTGGCTTAAAAAATTCGAAAACTAACCCAGTGACCCCCTGATTTTTTTCAGGGTTTGCTTTTGGCACTTGAAAAGGAAAATGCACAAAGATTTTCAAAAAATTCTACGGAGCGGAATTTCAGAAAATCTACAAAAAGGGCAATTTTCACACATCGCAAATTTCCTTCTGTAGAATTTCCTAGTTTTTTTTTCTGATGATTCCTTTCGACGTTATTATCATATTGGAACAATAAAAAGAAGGGGACACCGGACTTGTTTTCATGCAATAGCTTTCGTGAGTTTAGCAATTTCCACGTGCGTTCTCGCGCATTTAAAAGTCTGGATTCTATAAGATCGACATTTGCTCATGATCTGTTTTAGCTACCGCTGACAATTGCGTGTGCTCGCGCGAGCACCTACGATCTGATGTTTACAGACGTTTACTGCTCAGAAAATCATTAAACAGCCGTCAAAGACAGCCTCCCGAGCTCATCTTAAAAATCCTACACATGACTTCTGGCTATATCATATTATTTTCCTTGAAGTTTCAAAGTCTTCTTCCACTTCAGGTAGATTATCCTTCACTTGAGTTCTTCTTTTTTCGCCGTCGCAAGATTTCATATCGGTTGAATATTTCTTTTAAATGTGAAGTGAAGCAACCTTTACTTCTCCGAAAATCGTCTTCGTTATCTTAGTTTCTATCTCCTGCATTCACAGTGGCCGCTCAACACATCAAATACAAGCTCTTAGGTAAACTTCTCACAATTCG